CACCCCCACCACCCCCAGGCCTACCACACCATTGTCCATGTCCATGGGTTATGCAAATATGCATATAAGTTCTTTGGTTAATCTCTTCCTGCCTCCCCTCCCCATTTCCCTCTGAGATTCCTCAGTCTGTTCCATGCTTCCATGTCTCTAGGTCTATTTTTTCCATCAGTTTAATTTGTTCATTATATTCCATATATAAGTGAGATCATGTCATACTTGTTTTTCTCTGACTGGCTTATTTTGCTTAGCATAATACTCTCCAGGTCCCTCCATGCTGTCTCAAAGGGTAAGATATCTTCTTTTTTACACCTGCATAGTATTCCATGGTGTAGATGCACCATATCTTTTTTATCCACTCATCTACTGATGGGTGCTTTATGGAAGGCTGGATTTTGTGATTTACTAGATGACTGTAACCTGCTTAGCCTTTTAACTATCTGTCTCAGTTTCTCTATTTCACTTGTCCTGGCTTACTAGCCTGTCTCAAGTCAGCAGTTTTCTTCATTCTTTCAATAAAGTCATTACATAATTATTTAAAAGTGATGTAACTGAAGGATTGATTTCTCAAGATATCTTTTGGGCCTTAAGATCTTAAGAAATAAAAGACCAGCAATGGTGGCTTTTAAGGGAAAGGGAGTCTACAATTCATAACGGGCTATTTTTTACACTTTGTGCTTCTGTGCAAACTAGAGAAGGGAATTGTGGTTTCAAAGTGTGGTTTGGAGAATGTGTTGGGATAGACTACGAGCTTCTTGAAAGATGGAAACTCAGTTCAAAACAAGAACAAAGGGGCCCTGGCCAGTGTGGCTCAGTGATTAAAACGTCAGCCCGCAACCAAAGGATTGCAGGGTCGGTTCCCAGTAAGGGGCACTTACCTGGGTTGTGGGTTCACTCCCCAACCCCTGTGGGGGCACATGCAGAAGGCAACCAATCGATGTGTCTTTCTCACATTGACGTTTCTCTTTCTCCCTCTTTCTCTCCCCCTTCTTCCCTCCCTTTCACTGTCACTGAAAAGCAATAGAAAAAATATCCTCAGGTGAGTATTAACAGCAACAATAACAAAAAACAAGAACAAAGGGCAGCAAGGAAGGCCCTGAATTAAGGACTAAGGATGGGTGAGAGCTGCATTTCTTGAAAACTGATGATAGACTTTCTGTTGACAGGCCACCCAATATGGAGATGGGGGATGAAATGGGCCCATTTCAGACTTCAGCAAACCTATCATTTAGTTATAATTAGTGGGAAGGGAGAAGGGGTTGGGGTGATTTCTGACCCCATTTTCAAGGCAAAGAATTTACTAATTTTCTACACTAAGAAACTTTTCTAGATTTGCGATATTTGGGGCGAGAACTATTAGAATTGTATCCTGCTACACAACTAAACTCGGAGAAAAACCCTAAGGAGTACAGTGAGTGATGATGATCTTGCAGAGGAAACCAAACCCAGCAGTCTTCCCCTGTGCCCCCAACAGCTATAACTCCTCTCCAGTCTGTCCCACTTCTGCTGGATCCCAATGGGATAAGGAAAAGTATATGAGAAGATAAACTACAGAAGACCATTGAATTTGTCCAACCAAAAGTCCTTGGAAGATATATTTTTGTAGTTTAATGAGAGTGGAATAAGTGGTAGATTCAAGGATGGAATAAATGTTGAATAATTATTTGAAGTGTGGGATTGTGAGCAAAAAGAGAGGTAGGTTGGTGCAGTGGTACTGAACAAACATCTTCACATTGGAGGATCCTGGTCCTATTTAAAGGAGAAGAGGAAAGAGCCACTGGAAAGAGCTAGGGGATAATTTTGGAGAAAGAAGAGATGACTACAGACGTTGAGGTCTCTGCTCAGATTGAAGGGAGAGAAGGCTGGGAAAAGCATGATTTCCCTGTGTACAAGAATATTAGCACTGTCAGGTTGATGTGGCTCAGTGGTTAAGTGTCGACCCATGAACATGGAGATCACAGTTCCATTCCCAGTCAGGGCACATGCCCGGGTTGCTGTCTCCATCCCCAGTCAGTGGCAT